AAAAGGCAGACATAAGAGCAAAACAAAAAAAAAAAACACAGCTTAGAAGAGAACAATTAAACTATGATTCTAAAGTTTTGTTTCTTGGTATTATAAAAAGTCTCTCCAAGAGAGACCAGGAACAGTATGCATATACCACAACAACAAACACCTACTCCCACCTTTCTTTTGCAGGCTGAGCTATCAAGAAATTTGATGGAAGCTATCAAGAAATTTGAAAGATACTATCAACAAATTAGGACAGGCACGTGAAGTCTAATTTTTAGCTGCTCCTCTTCAGGTTCAAAATGTTCTTCCAGAGGTGAACAAATTCAGAATACAGGCTGCACTAGCTCATGAAAGGCCAACATGTAACTACAAATATTCCTTCCTCACTCAAGTAAGACATGGTGATTAACAATATTTTAATCTAAACCCAGAAGTAGCCTCCGAATCTCTCATCACAGACGTTTAAACAGCAACACACTTAGGCTCACAGATGAAACACACAAAAATATCTACAGTCTAGTAGGGACTGAAGATGCCAAGGGAAGAAGAGATCATGTCTTACAGCTGTTTTCTTCAAAGTGTATAGTACAGCACTGTACAACAGAAATCTAACTTGAGTCACATGTAATTTAACATCTACATCAGCAGGCAAAGAGGCAATGGGTAAAGTGATTTCAACGCATAAGAAAAATTAATGACTACTGTACTTGAAAAAAATTTTAAATACCAACTCGTTAAAACCAGTGTATAGGCCCTCCCTGGTGGCACAGCGGGTTAAAGCACAGCACTGAGAATCTAAAGCCGCTTCCGTATGAGTTCGATTCCCGCCTGCCCTGGAGGTGACCACATGGGGTGGCAGACCTCTCCAGACCCGCCCGCTGCTCCCCTCAGCAGTGTACTTCGTCGATCTGCCTGTTCTGCTCTCACTCTGTCTCTGGTGAAGCCTCTCACCACCCCTGAGCCTCTGCCCTGTACCCCAGTTCTGTATGCACAAATAAATAAATCTTTAAAAAAAAAAAAAACAGTGTATATTACTCGTACAGTACATCTTAATTCAGATGCCATTTTCTTTGGAAATATTTGCTCAGTATTTACATTTCATAAAATTTACAGATTTACACACCCATGTTGCTCCAAATATACTTGGAATCTTAAGATACAAAGGAAGCTTCTATTGGTTGTTCTGGTCTTTAATGGGATGTTATGTTGTGTTAAAAAACAACAAACAACTGAGAAGGTATACCTCTTTAGATGCACAAAGCTAGAAGTCATAGTTAATACCTATAGTAGAAAATAAAGAGTCAAAAGGATTTCCACTGGCCAAAATAGAACATGTAGCAAAATAAATTATAAGGCAGACATTAGTTTGGCCTGGCAAAAGCACAGTTTTTGAAAGACAATAGTTTGTAATGGATAACCTTAAAAAACACAAAAAACACTTTTTTAACCCAAAAGTCTTGATAATTGTTTTGCCAACAGCTGTCCACAATTGCGGGAAGAAATCATATAACAAATAGAGCACCAATGTATACATCTGCATTGGTAGCAGATATACACTCTAAATTATACAATGATTCTATTTACAGGTAGATGGAAACATCTAATCATCTTGTGATATTTTTATATAGTTGGTATCTGATGGTCTACATATTGAAATTTTTATCTTAAAGGAAGAATTATTTTCTGCCTATTTCTCTTTTATATTAGTTAGGGCATAATATTTGGTTTTGTTTGGTTTTTGAAAATCAGGTAGGTTATATTTTATTTTAATTTATCTGAACAGAAAAAGGGAACATCACAAAAATATTTGTTAAAGTCTAGTATCTTAGTTTACACATCTCAAGCTGTTGGATTTAAATGGCAAAGAGGATGAACTACAGGTTTACAAAATCTCCTAAACTCTAAGTTAGTCTCACTGGTTGTTCTCCCACCTTCGGCCCCCCCACTAAACCAGTTACCTGAACAAACAAACTCACATGCTTAGATATTTTAAAGAACACAAATCGTGTTTTCAGCTCAATGATTTTTTTAATGTATGCATTTATCTATCTATGTAATCAAAACCCAAGGGTAAAGATACAGAATATTTTTAACACTTCAGAGAAATCCCTGGTGTCCCTTCCCATCCCATGGGCTCTTTGCTACAGTTGAAGGGTAAATGTCTTCAGTTTTAATTCTATTATATGGACATTGAGACCTAGTCATGGCTGTCTATGGCACAGCTTTTTGCTTGAATGTTAATTTCCCTAAGAAGGATTAAAAGGTAAAGCAACTTCCCATCCACAAATTCCACGTACAATGTACCTGGTTCATAAAAATAAGCTCCTCAGTACAAAGGTAGCAATATCCATAGTAGACCTCAAAATTTTACATCATGTATATAAATATAGGCAATAGTCAAAAACTGAAAATATACTATGAAGGTAAAACACACACATGCCAATACAATGTAATGCCTAATTGTTTCTTATTATAAAAATGAAGGAAAATAAGAGCTTAAAAATGACAGGCACTGTAGGAACTATGTAAGTTAAATTTAAATCGATTTAGAGTTTGGAGTTCTGTGTCTCCAATTTTAGAAATTTCCATTCAATTTAACAGTACTGTCTGCTCAAAATACAAACACACAGCAGATGAAGTAGCTTACAAAAGCTATGTACTCCAGACCACTGTTCAATTCACAGGCCTTCCAAGAGTCAGGACTGTAGCACTGATGACACTGTGCATGGTGACCAGCCAGACTTTAAACTCAGGGCCTTAAAATCTTTCAGAATTATCATTGTCTTCATTTGTTCAGAGCCTTTACAAATTTGTAAGTGAAAAAAATATAAAAGTTCCATCTTATCTGAAGTTAGTTTATTGGGGAAGTTAAAAGGTACTATTCCTATAAAATCATTTAAAAAGTTTTCCAGTTAAGAACAAATTCTAAGCCACAAATCATAAGAAGCAATGGGACTTAAGAATTATTGACTTTAGGCATATTGCTGGTGTAAGGCACAGGATTAAAAACTACAGCTTTCCTCTAAATTTTTCTGGGAGACCCTCCCTGGTGGTTCAATGGGTTAAAGCACTATGAAGCTACTGCACTCACTGCTCCCCTCAGCAGTGTACTTCCTCGCTCTGCCTGTTCTGCTCCCCACTCTGTCTCTGATGAATTCTCACTCCCCACACCTCTGACCTACACCCCAGTTCTGTATACATAAATAAGTATTTAAAATAAAAAAATCTGTCTAGGTATTCTTTTCTGGGGATTTGCCTCCATCAAGTTATTACACAAAACAACCATTGTAAATAAAAAGATAATGTGACTCACAAGTGTTTTAACTGAAGGAAAGCTGTAAAAATACCACTGCCTGCACTTCTACCACAAAGTTAGCTTACAGAAAGAACAATACAGCTTAGAGCAAGACTGAGCAATACCAAACATTTCGGATTTAAACACCCAGAATAATTTCTTACAGATTCTCTTTTTTAAGTTTATGTACAGTTTCAAACCTGGGAATTGTTAGTATTGTTTTTATTACTTTAATGTAACAGGACAAGTAACTATTGAGTGCAAATGAGAATCCACACTCAAGGAATCTATCAAAAAAAAAAAAAAAAGAAAAAAACCTTGCCAAATTACACTGGTTTATATTAGAAAGAGCCAAATTTCTTAGATAATGATTCAAAAGCAGAAAGCACGTTCCATATCCCTCACTATCTTGGTTGAATTTTATGTGAAATATAGGTACTGTGAGAATTTCTTCATGATTCCTAAAATTTAGTACATAATATGTAATTTAGCCTTAGGATGTATTTTCACTAAAGTAAAATCAGATTAAGGAATCATGTTAATGATGAAGTTACAAATGACTGTCTTGTTAAGAGTACAGAAACAGACCCAAGGCCAAATAAAATCATCATCTTAGATCTCTTCTGCAACTTAAAACACACACACACACACAAACACACACGTGCGCAGAGATAACATTTAGATCCTTTTTTTAGTTCTGTCAGCATAAAATACAACGTAGGGGGCTATTTCAAAGACTGACTTTTATTTCATCCCGTTCAGAAGGGTCGCTGAACAATTTGAAAGGCTTCCCTAAACTCAAAAATCATAATTCTTTAAATTACTTGCTATAACAGAAGAAACTCAAGGCATCTCAGAAAGCTTTTAACACTGACAAAATCCCTTTCTTTCTCTAAGAAAGACGGTAATAATTTAAAAAAAAAGTTGTAAAACTAATATTCCAACAATGTATACCTTAACAAGAAGGTGACATCTTATCTAAGTGGAAGTAGTCGAACCAAGATAATTCTCAATCTTACCCAAGTTGGAAACAGTGAAAGACAGAATATTAACTTTGCCAATCACCTGAAGCAAGTTTCCCAGTAAGCAAGACCCCTGAGTAAACAGGGGCAATAGTAAACGACTGAAGCAACAGCACCACCTACTGAACACCACCACTTCCTTAACTATTTGGCACCCCAAAGTCTCACAGTGCTCACGCTCCCTACCCCTCCTCCACTTACTCTGACCCAACCCAAATCCAGTTGAGTCACTAGCCCTTAGTACTCATCTCTCTGCTCTTTATTCCAATTTCTTCTCCCTCCAAGATGTTCTGCACGGCTCCCAAGTGTGAATAAAAACGAAAGATGTCAAAGACCGCCTTCGCCAAGTTCTAGCGTCGAGCCTGGATCGGATCAGGACACCCCAACCGCTTTGAGTCGGGCAGGGGTTGCCTCAGCTGTTCGCTCCGAGTAAGGCCCCAATCACCTCCGAAGAGCTATCCTCCGTTGCTCCACTCGACTGCTAGTCTCCAGTCAACCCACAATCGTCCTCCAGGCCGACATACTGGTTCCCCGGGTCCGCTCTCTCCTGACCCTTCAGCCCGCCAACAGCTCGAGCCGAGCCTCCGCCCCCCTCCGTGAGCGAGTGAGCAGAAAATCTCAGCAATCTCGCTCCGCCAGGTCTTCACCCAGCGACTCTTCCCGCCGGCCGGCCCTTCCCAGCTGCCCTTCCTCACCCTTTCATCTTTCCCGCCTGCCGAAGCCGTCGTTACCACCGAAATCACCGCCGCCGTCGTCGCCGCCCTGGGCTCTCCGCGCCCTAAGCTCGGGCCACTCAACCCACTAGCCGGCCTCCTCGCCTAGGGCTGGGAGCTGAGCGGGTGACCGAGTCCGCGAGAGTCGAGCGCGGCCCTACGTCTCCGGAGGGGGCGGAGATGTCCCCGCCGCCGCGCTGGTGCCGCCGCTTTGCCACACGTGCACACGGGACACTCGGCTCCCGCCCGCCGCCGCCGCCGCCGCCAGCCAGACCCGCCGCTGCGCTGTGACCTTTCACCCCGCCCCCTCTGTGCGCCGGCGCGTCAGCCGCCTCCTGCGCAGTCGCACTGCTAATCTCGCGCACCCTTCCCCCTTCACTTCGGGACCTCCATCTTTCTACTGGGCTGTGCCCTCCAACGTCATGTTCCTCCTCCCATGTCTTACATCACTTGTGGGGCTTGCCCGGTAGGCCCTGGCGGTAAAATCCGGATTTTTCCACGCTTCCCTCTCCTTTTTCATTTTAATAAACTCGATCTTCCCTGATCCTGCTGTTTTTTTTATAAGTTGATTGTCTCCTGAATGACCTTCAAACGCTCCGGTCTCCTAGTTGGATTTTATGAAGCTGGTTCTTGTATATGTAGTGAACTGAGTACTTTGAAACCAAAAAGAATGTATTTTAACAATTGCCCGGGTAACTTGATTTCCATTTAGCAAGTCTCAAATTTTGATATCACGTGATTGCCCTGAACTGTTAAAACCTGGGATTTTACCGTAGGGCCCCAGAGGGACGGAACCCCTTCGCCATTTCCGGTCTTCAGCGTTAACGTCATTTCCTTAGCAATGCACTTTAACCCGGTCCACCCACGCCTTCTACAATGCACTTCACAATATAATCGTTGTGAAAATGTGTGTGTGTTTTTAATCGCAAGAAAATTAATATTCAAATGAGCTACAAAACCATAGACCCCAGAGATGCTTCGCGCCCGGCTGGGGGCGGTAGGGCGGAGCTTGTGGTCACGTGAGTGTCTAGGCCCGCCCCCCTCTGCAGCTGAAGACTTCCCCTCCCGCAGTGACAGAGCCTTTGGGTCTGTGATCGCTACAGTTTCTGCACCTCGCGCCCCGGCAGGTGAGCGACGACCGGTAACCGGCCGGTGGTGGGAATGGGAGAGGGGTGGGAGGAGGAAGAGAAGAGGGAATGTGAACGGCGGCCTCTGCTGTCCGGGGGTTCCTCCCCACTGTCATATTGCACCGACATGAGTTCATTTCATTTCTCCAGTTCTCCTGATCCCTGCCTGCCTACTTTGGTCCACCCCCTAAGTCAACCTCCCCCACTCCCCCAGCCACCACACACATACACCAGCCGACCTAGGGATTGAAATTTCCATTTTTTTCCGGGGTTGGGGTTGAGTGCAGCCATTGTAGTTCCTTATTCGGAGTCTGGAGTTTAGGGTAGTGCTATTACTTAAGCCACTCCTGGGGTCCCTTGTAGTCTCTGAGTACCATTCCCTAAAGCCCATTCTGTGGCAGAGGCCCTCCACCTTCAGCCTGAGGCCGGGGAGGTAGGAAAAACCCTGAAGGCAGAGGCGTCTCCGGTGAGACAGGATTGGGAGGGAATGCCACTGATGTGGCCCTCATTGCGGAGTCACTGTAAAGCTTGCTTGCGAATGTGTTCTCAGTATTGAGTATCTGACATCCCTGCGAGATGCGTTCTATCGGTGTTCGCATGTTTTGAAATGGGACGATAAGGGTAAAACGCCTTTTCCTTTCTCTTCCCTCATTTTATGGTACAGAAAGGACGAAGACAGTTAAAAGACTGGCGATATACTTACTAGCTTTAAGACAGTAGGTGTTGGTAATGCGACAGTCTCAATTGAATGGGGAGGCGTTTAAAAATGGTGTTGCGTGTCGTGATCAGCAGGGAACCCAGAGTAGCTTATAGAAAAGTGGCTAGGTTCCCCTGAAAGGGACATCATCGTTCAGAAACCAAATGGGTGGAAATACAAACAAATGTATTTGATCATAAATGTAAAGGTAAGGAGATTCAAGAAGATACTGCTGACCATATTTTCTGTCTCAGACATCCTCTTTTACCGTGTCTCCCTAAAATCCTACTTAATTGCCACTCCCAATCAACTCCTTGACTAGTGGTAAATTTAGATTCAGTAGCTGTTACAGCTCTCCTTAGCATTCTCCATTTGTAAAACTCCAAATGACCTCCTCAGATTTTGATGAATAGTATTTTGTGAAAATACAGAAATTATTTTGCTTAGGTATTTGTTCAACCCAGTGTGCTTCTATTGCATATATAATGTAGTAACTAATGTTTTGAGCCCAAACAGTGTGCATTAGGGAGGAATGTTTTTAAGTTTGGGGTTAAACTCTTTTATTTATATTGCAAACTCTGAAAATTCCTTGCTTCTTTTAAATTGAAAAGCCTAACAGAAACTGCAGATTTGATTTTTAAAAAGTTACGTTATGCTTTTTCTCACTCTGAAAAAAATGGGCTCAGTTAAATCTTAGTTTTCTAACCAATGTAATTGAAGAACCTGTTGAAAAATGAAGATGGAATAGTTGTCTTTGAATCGCAAATGTTACGTATTTTTGTTTTTGTTTCTTTCCAAAATCTCTACAATGAACTTTTTCTTTTGTCTAGAGGAAAAAAGTTGATCCTACAAGAGTAATTTTACAAAACACTTTTATGCTAAATTCAAAAAGGGAAAATTAGCTTATTAATGCTGTTTGCTAGAAAATACATCCTTAAAGATCTTTCTTGCTTTCCCCAATAAAGAAGATCATATTCTGGATTTATAGTTTCAGCATTTTGTACTTATGCTCTATATTGCACAGTAGTACTGATTTATTTGTAAGTTGATATAGCCATGCCTGCTGCTAATATAAGTATAGTTTTCTCCATTAGTTTGCTCCAGAGTAAGATTTCCTGATTGCTAGGGGAGAGAAAAACATAGCAGTGTTGCTTCATTGCCCAGGTGACATTCCACCAAATAATGTGACATTCTTTAAGGGCCTTGGAAGTTCAAACCAGTCCTATCTGGGTGAGACTAACATGAGAAAGAGAAAGTGAACTAAAAGCATTAATTGTTAGAGGGGAAAATGTCAGTATAAAAAAGGTTGAGTACGTCTGCAGTTTTACTTTGCAGTTCTTCCAATTTTAGGGAATTTATGAATGCAGTAACAGACCACTGAAGAAATCTGGAATATTAGCAGTAGGAATCAGTGATTAAATTGCCACACAAGTTGAATGTGAAAAAAAGTTTTGATATAGACAGATCTCTCTGTCTCTTTTCCCCGCTCCACACAGGATTTGTAGCTTGGAAACCATTTCTGAGACCAGTTTTTTAGCTTTTGAGGGTTATATGTAGAATTTTTAGCATTCATTAATGTAATCTAGTATTAAATGGCACACAAGGCTTTTAAATGGCAGGAACCCCTGTCAACAACTGTGGCTTGTGGTAAGGTCTTTCTTATAATTCACTGCCTTTATGGATTATCGCCACCACCAAGAATGAGTTCTTCCCCTATGGGCAGAGCTAGCCACTCTGTCGTAAGACTATTACAGATTATTTTCTGTTCCTCTATTTTTACTTTTAATGTTGTTTTAATTGCTATTTGTTGGCTTGTTTCTTGGTGAACTATCAAGCTGCTATCTCTTGTATCTTCAGTAGTAGAATGCTAAAGTACCTGATATGTACTCAGTAAGTTATTTGTTAAATGAATGTATGACAGTTGGACTAAGAGATTATACTATTTTTAAAGCTCTCATAGAATATGGCTCCTACAGTTGTTCACTAGGTATTTATTAGCTTACAAATATAAATCAGTAATAATAACCATTTAAATCATGGCCAGTAGAGTCAACATAAACCTTAGCTGAGCTTCATTAATGCAGTAACCATATTTTCCAAAAATGTATGTTTGCTAATAAATGCAAATATCAACCAAATAGGGAAGAGAAGACAGTATTTGTGAGCTATACTGCATGAAAAAAGTAATTGTAAAAGCTACAGTGATGCAGCACTAAACGCTTAAGAAGTCAAGGACTGAAAGTCAAGGGTCATCATTAAATCTCTGCCACATTAGTTATATGATCTTGTAAGTAAAGTTGGGGATGAAGGCTTAAATTTTGTCACAAGATCTTTGTGAAGTCAAGTAGATAAACCCTAAATAATCTGTGAAAATATTTTTTAAACCAAAGATTATATAAATATCGAGCAATAAAGTGCAGGCTTTAGGAGAGTAGCTGATCACATGGATCTGGGTTCAACTTCTACAACTTATTAGCCATGTCACCTTGGAGAGTTTCTTCATGCTTAAATAGATCCCATATACTATTAAATTAGATCATAAATGCAGAGGATACATTTCTAGTACATACTTTGTAAGCTTCTTTTTTCACTTAATTAATAGTTTGAGTTTATATACTAAATTTCTGAAGGAGATGTCATTCCAAAGAACTGAGCAACAGGTTTAGGTTATGCAGCAATTAATAGAATTTGAAATGAGACTGTACCAAAAAAAAGAGGGACAAGGAAAGATTCTAAACTAGATTTTCTTAATAAAAACTAGGAAATATCAGCATATAATATGTTGTTTTAGCAACTGCAGTAACCTAGCATTTACTATATAAGGATTTCCCCAAACTTATGATCAGTAATATTTGGAATTAATATAAGATCTTTCATTTCTAAACTTTTGTCCTAAAAGTGCATTATATATATTAAAATTATACAGACCTAGATACTTTTGAGTTTATGCCCATGCTTTAAAATTTTATTTTATTTTTTTAAAGATTATTTATGCATACAAAACTGGGGTATAGGCCAGAGGGGCAGGGGTGATGACAGGATTCACCACAGACAGTGGGGAGCAGAACAGGCAGATTGACAAAGTATACTGTTGAGGGGAGCAACCTGCGAGACAGGAGAGGTCTGTTGCACCATGTGGATCACCTTTGGGGCCTAGGATTGAACCTACACTGTCGGGGTTATGGCTAGCTTGCAGTGCTGACTGGTTGCACCACGTGGGAGGACCTAAAATTTTACCTTTTATATAAATGTTTTTATATCCTCTAGAAATAGGAATGTAGAGAATACAATGGAGACATGAACTAGAATAAAATTTTCCTCTTAATTGATGACACACAAGGGTTGGTGGTTTTATATTGGAAAATATCAGTAAATTAAACAGTAATTGAAGGATAGCTGTCATGAGTTCATGTTTCACCTTGGTTCTGAAAAAAACTATTACTCACTTGTTCTAAGGGAAGATTTTTTTTAAAAGATTATTGTATATTTCCTTTTATTCATTTATTTTTTGTGTACAAGAACTGAAGTGTAGGCCAGAGGGGAGAGGGAGAGGTTGAGAGGATTCACCAGAGACAGAGTAGGGAGCAGAACAGGTAGATCTACTGAAATACACTGCTGAGGGGAACAGCAGGCAAGATAGGACAGGTCTGCTGCTACATTTGGTATTGAATTTATGCTGCAGTAACTGGCAATAGCTGGATACCCCTGTGTCTTTAACTCGTGCACCAGCCAAGGAGGCTCTCTACTATCGTAAAATGATGGTGGTCGGTGAGAATGTTTTCCACTTAATTTCTTCCTGTAGAGATCTTGTTTTACCATTTTCTTATTGTGAAATAGAGAAACTTTGGCTCATACAAGTATATATATATGAAAGTTTATATAATGTGTGTGTATATATGTGTATATGTATATATAGTGTATCTAATAATTAGTTTATGTGAACTCCATGTATTTGTTCATAGTTAGCTATTTAATACATTTTACAATGTTAATCATTATAAATGATTGTTAATGCAATTCATAGGTATATTCAAATTTGACATAAGATTTTTGCTTTTTTTTGTATCACTATTATAATTGCCTCATACAAGAAAATTTTCATGTTTGAATCTTAATGCTATTTGAAAATCCTTTGACTTATCCAAATAACTGAATAAGTTATTAAATTTAAAGGTACAGATATATTTAAGACTTAAATAAGTGCAGCAAGATTTTAAAAAGCAGGAGAAAATCCCATATTATAAAGGAATTTAATGCATGACAAAGCAATATTTTAATCCAGTACAGAGAAAGATATATGTAT